CCCCAAAACCCCAAAACCCCAAAACCCCATTAGGATATAATTAGACAAATTAAAACTAAAAAAGAAATATAGATTAGCCTTTAAATAAAGTAATATTATATAATAAAATTCATGAAAATGAAAGATCAAAGTTCGACAAAGGGGAATGATGCACTTAATAATTCTAACTCAGTGCATACGTCTTAATAAAACTGGGGGTAGTGAGGGGACTATGCTCAATCTTTATTCTCCTAACAAGAAAAACTATCAGCTTAGCTAAATGATGAGACTAACCGCCCATTAGAGAGGAGAATTTTTAAAGTTAATTATGGATTTTTATGCTTCTTTGCAATGATAGCTGGTATGGGAATATTCTAGCTTGGGTATGTACTTACAGCCAACAATCAAGTTTCTCCAATCCTTGATATATAATTTAATTTGACTGATAAATCTGATAAAAATTTCTATCATACTATGATTGGATCTTCTGCTGTGCTAGGAGCTACCATAGGTTCATTTAGTGCAGGCAAAATTATTCAGATTGGGAGAAGACGCAGCATTATTATCTTTAATTTTATTGGAGCAGTAGCTGTGTTTGGTACACTAATTTTAAACTTTTACACTATATGTGCTGGCAGATTAGTGCTTGGATTTTGTGGAGGTTTATTTTCAGTGGCTCTATCAAGAATGATAGATGAAACCATTCCACAAAATTTACTTGGAACGTTTGGAGTCGTGACTAATTTATCTATGAATGCTGGTAATATGTTCTCAATATTAATGGGTGCTGGCTTGCCAGATCAAGAAGATACAAAAGCAAGTGAGGATAGTAATTTTTGGAGAATTATATTTGGATTTCCATGGGTATTTCAAATTATATAAGTATCAGCTTTTCTATTCATAGTGAGATATGAGTCTATAAAATTCCTGATTGATCATAAGAGAGACAATTAGGCATTGAAGGCTATACAGTAAGTTTATCATAGTTCTGAAAATCCCCAAGAGATACTAGACTATATTAGAAGGACAGGCTAAAAACCTTCATCAAATAAGATATCAATGTGTAAGGCTTTGACCGGTTAAAATTTCTGGAGAGCTACTTGGTTCTGCATACTATTCGGCATTTTACTATAGCTCACAGGTATAAATGCAATAATTTGGTACTCAAATAATATTCTTTAAAAAATCTAAGATGACTCAGGTCATGGTATAAGCCCTAGACTCGGAACAATTTTAATTGGTGTTACAAACTTCATAGGTTCTATAATATCTATCTTTGTTGTGAGAAGATTTGGAAGAAAAACTTTAATGGTATCTGGAAACCTAGTCATGGCTTTATTGCTCTTTCTAGTTGGTCTATTTTCATTTCTTAAATTCAATAATGTGATGCTGATCATGATTTTGTTATTCTTACTAATTTTCTAATAAAGTGATGGCCCAATATTCTATATGTATGCTTCTGAAATCACTCAAGACACAGGCCTTGGATTCGCATTTTTATCTTTGAAAGGTAGTGGATTGATAATATCGCTAACAACAGAGTATTTGATGGACTCAGTCCTCTAACCTAGTGGAGCATTCTTGCTTTTTGCTTGTATAACTCTAGCTGGTGCAATATTCTTTATTTTCGCAATGAAGGAGACTAAGCACTTAACTGATAAGGAAAAGAAAGATTTATATAAGACGAGGTTTAAGGAATTAGAAGATATTTAATTTGAAGAGGATATAATAGAGAGTGATCTAAATATTAATAGATAATAATGATTTGCTTTTGTAAATATTCCTTTTTATTTATAAAGATGCGAAAATAATAATGTTTTTAATGATGGGGTTTTGGGGTTTTGGGG